TATTCCAGTCAGTCGTGTCTAATTCTTGGAAATTACCTGGGCAAGTCAGACAAGTTCCTGCAATTTTCTTGGCAAGATTTTTCAGAAATAGTTATCAATTACCTCCTGCCTTGGGCTGAGAGAAAGTGACTGGACAATGGCCGCCCAACTGGTTTTATGCTTAAACTGGACTAAAACTCATGGTCTCATGATTTCTAATTTGGTGCCTTAATACTACACTAAACTGACTCTAAGTTTATAAATTACACCATGTGTATATCATGTGAAGAATAATTAGTACCCAATATATATACAGTTTTCTCTGTGCCGGTTAAAAATGGAATTCAGTTGCTTCTAGGCCTGACAAAATGTATTCATATGTAGTAGATTAAAAAAAAATTGGGGTGGGGGATTGTTATTTTGGCATATGTCATTACCAGAATTCTCTTCTGCCTAGGTAGAGGGTCATCTAATTATGACTCAATGGAAACAGGTTAGGAAAGAGGGTATTGAAAGAAATAAGTTTAAAGTATTATTACATTTTTATTTTATGGTGTAATTTATGGCATTCTTTCTGGGCAAATATCTAGCAATTCTAAATTTAATTCAGTAGATCCAATGTTCAAGGAATTTGTTCCGTTTGCAGGTTTTTATGGGCATATATATTCAGTTTATTGAAGCTGTTCATAATAATCCAGTAGCATTAGAAATAGGACATTTGCCATGGAGACTATTATTTGTGTGTGTGTTTTACCCAGCTTTTCAGACAAAAACAAAGAGTTGTAAGACTAGAAATGGAGAACTATCCTTGTCCTGAGGCTTCCATATGGAAAAAAACAGGACACAAAAAGAACGGGACAGAAAGAGGGGAAGAAAAAAGCAGTTTTTGTAATCAAAGAAATAAATTGAAATAAAGGCCCATTTAATGCAATTTGGGCATGTCTTTTCTAACAAATGCAGGTATTGTTTAAACAGAGCTTTCTTCCATTTGAAATATTATACATCTTGCTTATTTGTTTTATGGAAGTATACGTAGTCTTTTCCATTTAATATCAAAATTATTGCATGACAGTTTATATTATTATTCACATTTGGAAATATTTATGTGTAGATTCATTCTGCGTTCCTTTCTCAATGTCTTTATGATTTTAAAACATCAGGCAACTTGACATTTTAAAATTTAAATTTTAACATCTACACAAAAAAATTGTTTTGTATTTTTAAAAATTATTACCTCAGCAAATTATTACCTCAGAAGCATTGTCCATTGATTACGATATATGCTTCCTGATACATTATTGAAAATCTCAATAATATTTTACGTTCAGCAGATTTTTTAGACTTATCACACCTTGTGATAAAAACTGTGATCAACTATGCAAATATATGATCAGACATAGTAGCCTACTTGTATGCAAAAGTATACGTTGATATGTGTAGGTGGTTTTGTTTACTTTAATTGCTTCTTAATGTATATATTTTATTTAATGACTGAATTTCTATAACTGGAATAAATGATGGTAGTGTATTATATTCTTCATCCTGGATAGAGCATATTTGTGTAGTGATTGTGAATTGACTGATTTAATGGCACATAACCATTCAGTTAGTACTATATTACGTTTCTCTGAGTTGTTCTTTGAATAATAGGAGGAAAATAATTATCTCATGGGATTTCTGGAAGCATCTGTGTGAAATGAGATATGGTAGTGGACTCATAGGTATTGCTTAGCAGAACTGCTCGTATTGTTAGTATCATTCTTTGTTATTAAGCTTCCTAGTAGAGATATTCTAAAAGCATGTTATGCTAACTCAGAAGGTTTATTACAAGTCTACACATTCCTTACTATTGGAGTGATGTATCACTTATAGAGCTGGTAGTATAGAAGCTGATACTCTGTAAAACAACTTGGGTAAATTTTTGAATTATACACATTCAGGAAGTAAGTTGGAGGAAGGTTTTTTTTAAAGGGACAAATAAACTTTTATCTTAAAAGGCATTTTGCTCTGCTTACAGTAGAGTAATAATGTTGCCAAACTCACAAATTTAAGGTACATCATATAGCTGATCATGATTACATTACCACCTCATCCCATAAATGTTTACATTACAAATTGATATGTATTGCAATTACAATATCTGAAGAAATCTTACTTGAAATTAATTATAGTTACAAGATTTTTATAAACAGTGTTTAAAGTCTGAATTAAAAGCTGAAATGATGGAAAAGATGTTAAGGGCTGTATCTATTTTCTCTCTGATAAATCAATGTTTTGGTACGGTCATGATTATAGCAGCCATTTTGAATTCACACAATTTGTTTTCAAATATATAAATGTGATTTTAGAACAATGCCTGTAAAGGTATCCTATACAGCTTTGCACTGGACAGATGATTTAATTATGTGAGAACTTTAAAAAAAATGTATTCCTAAATGCAATTGTATGATGGTCCAGGCAGCTAAAGGGAAAAAAAATAATTTCATGATCATAGTTGAGAGAGAAAAAACAGTTGTAATATCATTTTCCAATGGATCATTTTTAATCTGATCTCCCATATAGGTGATCCTTCTGGGATTGTACATTCGTAATAGTATGGCTCATATGATCATTGGAATGCTGCAAGTTTATCATTAGTAATGAGCCACGAAGGGAGTAATCAGCATGTATTTTGTATTTTGAGAAAATTGCTGGTCTGTTTTTATTTTCCATCTGCTCAAACACAGATCTTTTTTAGGCCTACATTTTATAGCAATCTGTTTAGGTGTCCCCAACTGACTTTAACTTCTCAGTGGTTAGCAGTTGAGTTATCAATATCATAACACAAACTATGATTTGCAAATCAGGTTTAATTTCTTATGTGGTCTACTAGTAATAACAGCTGTTTTGAGTTTGAGGGTATATCATGATTAAGAAGTAGACTTGCACATATATCTGATCTTTATGTAAACTCATTATCTTCTTTACATTATTTTTTTGTTGTATCAATGCTTACTAAATATTACAGCACGTTTTACAGTGATTTTAAAATTCTATTGTTTATTCCATTAGTGTCAGTCTTGGCCCATGTTTAGTAAAGTGATGTTTTTGAATGCTATGGCACCCACACACACATTTTATGATATATTTGAGGATATTGGTGATTCTTAGACATGAACACTGCAACAGATATCTTATACATTTGTTCCTACTTGAAATCCTGTAACTAGTGCTGAAAGAGTTATAGCTGATAGATACTGTCTTTTTTTTTTAATTACAGGGGTTTTATATTTTCAAACAAGCTTTCCCTTGCTCAAATGGGTATTGAAAAGTTATTTACAAACAAAAAGTCAACACTCATTTAAGAAGTTTTAATTTTCATTCATGTTTCCCTGGACAGACAGACAGACAGACGGCACTTGTAGATATCAGTAGATATTAAGTAGAACTAAGCAACATGAAATGAGAAAAATTGTGTTGGCCAAGAAAAAAAGCTTGCATTGTATAAAACATTTTTTAAAAAATGAAAACCTTTTTGTCAGCCTGGCTCTCAGTTTCAACTGCATCTCTTGAGCCACTTCTAAAAATTCTTCCTGAATCCCCTGACTTTCTAGATAGGTTTTTTTTTGTTTATTTTTTCAATTTTAATTTTAGAAATGTCTAAGTTTATTAAAAAGAAAAAAAATGAAATATCACATTGACATAAATTTTTAGATCCTTTGCAATAACATTATTGCGTAGATAGGTTTTTGAAGCATTTCAGGTTTTATTTATTTAGGCTTTTAATCCCAATTTTCTTGCAAGTTTTCTTCTTGGTTTTTAAGCCTTCTTTCTCTGGCAACTCCCATGTGAAAAGGCACAGTTTCTTTTCAATCTCACGCAACCAGAGAGAACTGCCCTGCACCATATACTGTCATCATATCCAATGAAGAAAGAAAAGAAAGAATAGAGAACTTGCTTGAGCAGATCTGTAAAATTTACATGTTTAAAAAAATCAAACCATTGTTTTGTCAGGATTGACATGATTTTATTTTTCTATGAAATGCCAAATATATGGAGATTATAAATGGCCAGTAAAAGGGATGTAGATGTTATAATAAAGCAACTTTATGATCATAAAAATTCTTTTTTAAAATTAGTTACAGAGAGGAATGTGGTTTGAGATGGTGAGATTGGAACCAGAGGTGTTGAGGTCAGATAGAACTAATTAGACAGACAGATAGACACATTTAGCAGATTTATCCTAGTCTCAAAGCTAGGTTAAAAAAAACGGCTGCAAGTCCATTAATTTGAAAAGGTGGGAGGAAAGGCTGAAGATTTAACCCTAGGGCTGACCTATATAGATAAATGTTCATTACAAAGATTTACTGCATGTGACTTTATTCTTGTCTGCAGCAAAGCGTCTTATTTAATCATGTCAAGCTTGAAGTTTCTGTTGTGTGCTGGTTATGGAACACAAGATTGAGTTTGTGAATAATATAGATAACTGTATGTTGCCATGCCTGTGTGAAGCCTGACAGCAAAAGTCAAACTGGGGTGACTTTTCTTTTAATCTTTTTGTACTACAATTTTTGATGATGAGATAGTAAGTTGAAAAAGAAATAAATATAATAGATGTTCTAATACAAATATACATTTGATTAAATTTAAATTCATTTGAAGGCTTTCCAAAAAAGAAGCATATTTTTCTGTTCGCATATTTTTATTTCAGTAGAGCTGTAGTGTTTTCTCTAACCCCCCCGCATTGCAATTAAATATTGGCTATATTTAAAATGTGGATGTGTTGGCAGAAAGTTTTAGCTTAAAAGGACCAAGATAAATGGGAAAAAAATATGTAGCTTTGCTCCATTATTGATTGATGTGATTTATATTTCACATTTCTGTATTCCTGCGCAGGAATTACTAAGGCAGCTAGACAAATGATTGGAGTCAACACAAGACAATATCCTGTACTTTTGTGTAACAGTTCTTATTTCCATCAAGATATTGTTATAACTTAAAAAGCACCATCTTTCTTTTCTTCTTCTTCTTCTTCTTTTTAGTGGCCAGTTTGCAATAGTAAGAAAATGCCGTGAGAAGACCACTGGGGCACAATATGCTGCAAAATTCATTAAAAAACGAAGAACAAAATCCAGTCGTCGAGGAGTAAGTCGTGAAGACATTGAACGAGAAGTAAACATATTAAAAGAAATCCAACATCCCAATGTGATTACACTCCATGATGTCTATGAAAGTAAAATGGATGTAATTCTTATATTGGAACTGTAAGTAATATTTAAGTTGTTTGAAATGTCCATTTTGGAAATGAAACTTTTGTACCAGTTTTGAAAATGATTTGAAAATGAAAACCCCAATAATTATCTTGTATTGGAGGGCCATGCTCATAAGAATAGAATAAACAGTTCAAAATAAACGCATTTTTATTCAGGCATCTTTGTCTTCATGTGCTGTAAAGCATGAGTACCTTTGAAAATTAATCCTGAAGATTATCTGCTTGGAAAGAGCTGAGCCTGTTGAATTTTAACTTTTATGGTGGCTGTCTCTTTTTTGACCCATTTGCCTTTTTTCTCTCATTAGTATCCAGTTTTGTCCTCTCCTTTCCCCCCATACTCCCGCCATCACTTCTTTTTTCTTCTTTTCCCTGCTTGTTATTCTTATTTCTTTCTCACCTGTTCTTATATGAAAGGGAATGAAACTTCTCTGATAGAGAAGTATGTGTGGAGGAGAATAGTTGGTATAAGCAGATGGGGACCAATTAATTTTGTAAATGGCTTATCGTATTTAAAGACCATTAATTTTAGTTAACAGTTAATATAGGTGCTTTTGTCTGCATTTCTTTCGTCTACAGACAAAAATGGTAATACATGCTTTTGTGGAATAGCAGAATTAGAATTTTCTAGATTTAGTATAGCTGGTATTGTCAATCTTGGGCAAGGAATCTATATATCAAATAAATCAGTGAATTTGCTTTCTTTTGCATAATTCCTGAAATCTGGGTTTCATTTTGAAGATCACTGCTTTCATTCTACCAAAGCAACGTTGGAAGCAATATTCCTTGCCTTAAATTGCCATCTTTTAAAATGCGGCAAATCATTTGCAGACTGTAAGTTATTTTCGTGATTTCTTTTTCTCAGCACAGGCAACTTGAGCTACAGCCACAGCCTGTTTTATTTCCCTTCCAGCTTGAGTCTTCAAAATCCCTTCTTCCACTCTAACTTTTCTTCTTCCTTAGTGTCAACTGCTTCTCCTTTCTTCATGGCCATTGTAATTCCTTCTGCAAGAGCAAAACGTCAAGTTAGCTAGAATGCTGTTCTTGGTTGAACAGCCTGAAAGCAGCAGACTCAGTGACATATTTTTCATTTTCACAAACAAGAGACCAGGTTTTTTTTCCACAGTATTCCCTTGTGCTTTTTGTTCATTCGCTGAACTATAAAAGCTATCTGGGCAAAACAAAAGAGTCAGATATTCTTAAGGTCTGAATGGCGTAAGGAAGCAACTTGTTCATTTCTGACATATACATTGGAAATGTTCCTCATCAGTTTTCTTTTTCAAAATCTGCTGGAAACATAAACCTATAATTCTCAGAACTATAACAGTTCTGTTATCATATGATGCAACAGTATTAGACTGCGGGATCAGGTTAACCATACTTAGCAGTACGTGGTGTTCTAATAAACAAAAAACAATTCTATTAAAGAATATTAATTGATAGAGTAGGCTTGTGCAAATCTTCCAGTGAAGCATTGCTCATAAATGAAGCACCCTGCTGGATCTGTTCCTTGAAGCTGCCACAGCCACTTGAAGCTTGCTATGTTAGCTTTGAGGCATTGCCAAGCTTTAGAGCACTTAATCGAATGATCTATACAGTTCTAGAGTAGAATAGAAAACTTTTAACTTGACATTTGTTCCCACTAATGCATATTCTTCTAATTATTGGCTAATTCTCAGCAGTTATGAATAAGCTAGAAAATGTCATATTACTTTTTAAACAAGCAACAAATGAATTAACATAACATGAAAAACATGAAAAAAAATTCCAGTGCATTTAAGCATACAGTCAGAATATTCACACCTGTAGGGGGCATATAATAGGAAATAAGAAGATTTTATAAGAGTCTGTTTGTCAGAAGTTTAAGATGACTGCCAGATTTTTAATATTGATATTTTAAATATATTTATGTATTATGCTGTTTTATTATTATTCCTTTAATTGCTGATTAGGAGCCACCCAGAGTTTCATATGAAATGGGTGGCTATATAAATGTTTTAAATAAAAAAGTAATTTTGGAAAATGTATGTTGATAATGGAGTTTTTTTTATTTTTTTAGATGCTTCTAAGATTAAGTTGTTTGTTCTTTCTGTATTAGTTGTTAGCTATTATAAATCTTGGCTACTGCCTTAACTTCAGAAGATTTGTCTGAAGTGAAAGAGCATTCCCCACTTAGGATGGATATTTAGAAAAGACATTCCATATTGCTAATCCAGGCAGGAGTTTTGCTTTTAGTTTAGTTTAGAATATTTCTCATTCTCTTTTTAAGTTTGTATGATTTATCATGTTTTCTTCTTGGAAGATAAATAGGAGGGAGGAAAGAAGGAAGCAAGCAAGCCATTTTCCCATAAGGAAACTCAATTGGGAATCTGGCAGGAAATCAGAAGTCATTCTCATTCCCAATGTTGACTCCTGCTCATGTTGTTTCTCTGTTTAGATAAAAAATACTTTTGGAACGATGACCCAGTGGGGAACGAGTTGTCTACTTTAAAATAGAAAAATCAAATCGTAGCTATTTAAAAGCAAAGGATAGCAATTCAAGATGGTATAGTACATATGAAAAGCAAGCTCTTCATATCCAGGCTTAAATAAACCTTATGATATTTTTTGTGGTATTTTAAATCTTGGACTCCAGTGATAGAAGGTATTATGCCAGTCTGAGAGCTTTCTTGATTAGGAATTAATCCTCCTTTTTCTTGTGTGGAGAATCAGTTTGCACCTCCAAGCAACACTTTCAGATTGTTCTCTAGAGTCCATTTAAAGGGTGAACATGTAGTTGATAAAGCACATGTCTTTTACAAATGATGAAATTGTCATCTATAATGTTGTTACATCCAACAAATAGAAGATACCTATATCATGCTTTAATACTTTACCAAGCAAGAAAAGGCTTTTAACATTTATCAAGCAAGAAAAAGTCTAGCAAATTTAAATCTTTCTATGAATAAATTATACAATGAGCTGATTTGCTAATATGAAAACCTATCATGTTAATCTAATCTATTAATATTGCTGATTTTTCTGGCTACTTTCAGTGAAAGTCCTTTTAATTTTGTTAAACCCATTGGGATTAAAAATCTCCATGGACAATTCTTTAGATAGTTCCTTAATTATTTAATTGGTTCATTAATAAAGGCATATAAGTATGTTGGTGCTAATTCATTAAGAGAGATAATGCTGTTTTTCTAAGCTAATCTGTTTCACATTAAATGCTTAAGACCTATAATTATATCTTGTGGGATATAGTTTGTAATCCCAAAGCTTGGGTAACAGTTTGCTTGCTAAAAAAAAAAAGAATTATTTTCTGGTATAGTGTAATCCACTTTTCTTCTCAAAGAAAGAAAGAAACATCTTCTTGTTTGCTTTAACTTCTTTTATTTAATTGCCTTTATTTATGTGAGATCTTTAATTTAAAGATAAAAATGTATTGGAATTTCATGTGCTATGGGCCTTCTGTGTTTCATTTATATAGAAAACTTAATAAGTACTTTGAATCATTGCAATAAAATAAAGACATTTACTGTATTTTTTGGTCTATAAGATGCACTTCCCTCCCCCCAAAAGTGGGTGTAAATGTCTTATAGAGTGAATGCTGCCAAAGCTTGGCCCTCTCACCAGCCCATACCTTTTGACCTCTGCCTCCCAGCAATTTGCCTCCTTGCAGCAAACAGCCTGGTCAGTTTCAGCACAGTTTGACTTAGCACGAACAGCTGATTGGTGGTTGGACCGGTCTCCTGCAATACCGCCAATCAGCTGTTCCAGGTTGCAGGGATCGCTGCCACCCCTCGCTGCTGCCTATTGCTGCCTCCCTGCATCCCATTTTCGGTCCTTTCCAGATGGTGGGGACCATTGTCGCCGAACGGGCAGAAAATGTGACACGTGGAGGCCGAAAACAGGGCGCGTGGAGGTGGTGATGGGCAGCGGCAGTGATGGACACCAATGGCGGCGATGGGTGGCGGCAATCCCTGCACCCTGGAACCGTTGTACAACAATATTCCGGAGGCCGCTCCAACTGCCAATCAGCTGCTCATGCTAAATCAGGCTGTGCTGAAACTGACTAGGCTGTTTGCTGTTTTCTGCAAGGAGGCAAATTGCTGGGAGGCAGAGGCAGATTTTTTTTCTTGTTTTCCTTTCCAAAATCTAGTTGCCTTTTATGGTCCGGAAGATCTTATAATGAGGAAAATGTTTTCTTAAAAAAGCTTTTTGGATATAATACATCGTAAACCATAAGAACTTGCTAAATTCAAGTGTTTCGCTCTGGATGTCTTGATCATAACATTACTTTCCATGTTATTCACCTTTTAATAATCAGTGTAAATAATTTATTCTAAATACCATCTATTTGTTAAAATGCATATTCTTTTCTCAGGACACAGATTACATGTATTGGGCAAAACATTTATATTAATAAAATGTTAAAAAACTGAAGTCATTAATGGTTTCAAAACTTGTATTGAATGGATTCTTGCTTTAATGTGCAGTTAATCACTATCAATACAGTGATAGTGTATTTATTTTTTATTTATAGTAAAAGAAAAGTACTTACATTTTCAATGGAGCTAGAGTAAGACAACCAAGGTGCTATAACATAAAATAGCTCCTCCTTTTATGTTCAATAAAATTGGTGGTGGGGGGGTGGTAATATATCTATAGTATAGCATCTGAAGCCTCAGGATGTTGTGTCTCTCCTGCTGTGGCCCATCACTGGATATTTTGTTTTTGTGTAAAATTTCTATTTATGTCTGTAAATTTGCAATTTCTGTTGCAAATATTGGCAGAATAAACAATATAAAGTAATAATAAACTGAAGGAAAAGTCTTGTGAAAAGGAGCTGGTCATGGGTTTTTTTTGTTTTTGTTTATTTTTTAGAAATAATAAGCATAGAACATGAATATACATGTGGTTTGAGACAGTGGTGGGTTTCAATTTATTTTACTACCGGTTTGCATGAGCTGGTGCTCGCGTGATAGTGGAGCCTCCCGCTACCACCACTACTGGTTCGCCGGATCTGGGGTGAACCAACAGAAACCTATCTCTGGTTTGAGATACTTGCTTATGTTTTCATATTCGAATCTTAACAATTAATATAATCAATTATTACTGGAAAATATGCTTGTTTATATACACTATGAAGTATTAATTATGAAGGCTATAATGCATATTGAATTTTGATTACCAATACCATATTCTTTGTATCAGCAATCGTTTGGATTTTTGTGTCACAAGATAAGAGATGGTGTCTTTATAATGTGAATGGTCCTTAGCTAAGAAAACCTTCCCAGGAGCTGAAGTTCAGAAGCATCTGATGAGACCTTTTAAAAACAGGATGATATCTATAAGATGGTTGTCTCTGTAAAGGTGTAGACTAGATTTAGTGGCTAAAATCAGTAGAAATGGGAATTTGGACTTTGTCATACATACATGATTATTTCCAGATTGAATTACATGATGTTTCTGCTTTTGGAAACTGAACATTCCTATTGTTCAGCATGAAACAGCCAGATTGCTAACTGATCACAGAGAACATACTGTGCCTATTTTATGTAAGTCTGACCAATCTACAGTTATTTTCCAGGCATAATTCAAAATACTGATCTTTAAAACTCAAGTGTTCTGGTACTACTGCACATGCCTATTTCCATATAAACGTCCTCATTTATTAAGAACATATAATTACATTCCAGCCAGTGCTTCAACATTCATATGCTAAGACAGCTACACAGGTCTACCGCCCATGGGAGCATACAACAAAAGCTGGGTCAACAAATTGTGTTCTTTTATTTAAGAGAGAGACTCATCATCAAAATATATAAGAATTGGCATTAATTTAGTGTAATTTTAATATCTTAATATTAAATATTAGTATAGTTTATATTTTAATAAAATCAAAGGTTGTTTGCCTATTGCATTTCTGCCCATTGTTCATATTGTGGTCTTTAGCGTGACATCCATACAGGAAGACTCCATTGGTTTAGGATGGTGGTTGTAAGAAGAGAGACCTTATGCAGTATTTCATTGCTATGCTAACTTGAAAACAACTGATAAAATGGAGAAATATCAATAAGAAAAATATGTTAAAAAGTAGATCTTTTTCATGCTAGCTAAGATTCAACACTGTCAGAAGGTGATTGATAAAATAGGAATAGTTGTGTTTTGATTTCTGATTTTTTTTTAAAGTGAAAAACAAAATATTTCATAGTGTTATAAATATCAGTGGTGGGTTCCTACTGGTTCGGACAGGCTCGCCTGAACTGGTAGTAGATTGGCAGCCTGGGTCGCTGGAACCGGCAGTGACCCAGGCCTGCACGCCCCCGAACCGGTTTCTGGGTAGCGTCATAGGCAACACCATCTTGTTTTTCAATTTTAATTGCACTGTGAATGCCCACACAGCACGCACAGTAGTGCCTGACAGAACCCACCCCTGATCAATATGTATTTTCCATTCAAAGACTATCCAATAATATATATAACATATGAAAGTGTGCTGTAATATTGAAAGAATAATTTAATTTCTATGACTTATAACACATTTGAATACAAAGGAAAGTAGATTTTACATCATAATTGGAGAATAACCATGTGCCATATTTTTCCTCCCACTCAATTTTTTAAACTAATGTTTTATTTTTAAGATACGACATTGCTGTTTCTCTTTTGCAAAGATTTGCCAGTTCTGCTTTGTTTAAAAGTGATTTTGAACATGTTTTGGTAAATTAAATTTAAAACATGATTGCTAAAATAAAGTAGCATAAAAATACTTAAAACATTAAACCAAGATAATATTTTTGAGGTGGAGAAGCTTTTTAAAGGCCAATTTTTTTTATAAATCTTTATTAATGCTTGGCAACTTTAATTAAACATTTTAATAGTTTTCATAATCTTTTAAAGCTTTTAAGAGTAGATATTTTTCTTCATAAAGGAATCCTTCACATTTGGTTTTTTTTTTTTAATGAAGAGTGTTCAAGTCATAATTAAAGCTCCTATTTTTTACAGCGTTGCAGGAGGGGAACTCTTTGACTTTTTAGCTGAAAAGGAATCTTTGACTGAAGAGGAGGCCACAGAATTTCTCAAGCAAATTCTTAATGGTGTTAAGTATCTGCACTCTCTGCAAATTGCACATTTTGATCTTAAGGTACATTGAACAAGCAGCTTTTTCAAACCTTGGAAATGCTACATAAAATGCCTTTACAATTTGGGTATCCAGAATAAATGCTAATGTAAAGTTTTGTTTGAGAAAACAAAAGATATTTTAAAGGTTCTTTATATGCCAAGACTATAATAGATTGTAATGGAATATTAGAATAAAATAGGATTTAAAGATTACTGATTACATTTATGGAGCCATATCTTTTTGGATATTCTATACACAGTATACAGTACATTGGGAAACTCTTATTTGTATGTCTGCATATAGTTGTATATTGGGATTTGTCCAACTTCATTTTATTAGAGATTAAAAAATCCAGGGGGAGAGGCATCCTCAGGTATAATCAAGATATGGGATAAATGAGGAAACACTTACTTACCACTAATGCATGTACAATGTTACAATGTCTACTGAAGAGATAAAAGTTGCATCACAATGGTGCAATGCTACTATTGTTATTTTGATGAAAGTCTAAATCCTGCAGACACCTCATGGTTACACTTACCCATAAGAACTTATCATTTTTTNGCACATCATCAAGATGAAGAGCAAGAGGAGGAATTCTGGGAGTTGAAGTCCACAAGTCTTAAAGGTGTCAAGTTTGAACACCCTGGGTTTTTTTTCTAAAGGGTTAGGGGTGCAAGGGTCTTGTAACTTGATAGCTTTAAGTTTTGCGTGCTTCAAATGTCAGAGTTTCTGAGCCAACATTTTGGTTGCTAAGCAAGAGCGTTGTTAAGTGAGTTTCACCACATTTTACAAGTTGCCCACTCTCACTCAGTTACATCGCTGGCAAGCCACTCCCACCTGGTCACATGGCCAGCAAGCCACTCCCACAAAGCAGGCAACACCTACAGAAGAGGTTCTAAAAAAATTGAAACCCACCACTGTACGGAACAGAACGGAACAGAACAGAACAGAATGCATTGCAATGCAGAAGAATGGAATGGAATGGAATTGGAATAGCACCTAAGACTTTTATATTGCTTCACAGTGCTTTAAAGTCCTCTCTAAGTAATTTACAGAGTCAGCACATTGCACCCAACAATCTGGATCCTCATATTACTGATCTCGGAAGGATGGAAGGCTGCATCAAACTGGAGCTGGTCAGAATCAAACTCCTGGCAGTGAGTTAACTTGCAAGAACAGAACTGAAGAAGCTTCTTGGATGAGAAGGGAAACATCATCAAGGGGGAGAAAAAGCAACAAAAAAAGTCCAGTTGCCTTTTGAAAAAGCATCCTTGGGACTTAGACAAACTCAAAGATAAATATCACAAAGCCACGTAATTATTTCAAAGAGAAACCTATTCAGGTTTTTGGCCCTGAAGTAGCATCTCCATTTGTGTGATCGTGGTGGTGATGACCTAAATATTTTGATTGACATTTCTTTGAAAACTGGCAGATAAGCATTAGAATATTCACTTGTTAGAAACGGACAGAGGAAAAACAAATCTACTTTTGCTTGAAACTTTTTCCTGGCTTTGATTTTGGTGATCAGCAATAAAATATGTACATTATAAGTAGGGTGTATTTTTAAAAAAACGTTAGGAGTTTAAAGGCCCAGTTTATCTGCACTCTTAATCCTTTCTTTCTTTCTTTTTTTAAAGGATGCAGATCAGGGATGTTAAAAAGAGACAACAGTAATGGAAAAGGCTCTTCGGCATTCTTCAGTGGATGCTTGAAAGGAATTTTATATGCTGTGAACTTTGTCAGATGTTGGCAAAAGCTCACTGTGGTATTTTCTGCTTCTTCTGAGCCTTCAAATTAATATTTGGGATCATTTCAGGCATTTTAGATCAGGGGTGTCAAACTTCATTTCATTGAGCGCTGCATCAGGGTTGTGTTTGAACTCGGAGGGCCAGAGATGGGTGTGGCCATGGTGGGCGTGGCCAGCTCGATGTCACTCATGTCAGGGAGCCAAGTGCGAAGGCAGGACTTCCCTGAGAACCTCTCTCACTCTCCTTCCTCCCTCCTTCTCCTTTCTTCTTCCTTCCCCTCTTTCCTTATTTTTCCTTCCTTCCTGTCTTCCCCTCTTTGCTTCTTTTTCTTTCTCTTTCCTCTTTCCCTTTCTCCTTTCCTGTCCCTTCTTGCATGCTCAAATGCAAAAGGGGAAACATTTCTCCTTTTTTTTTAGTTTGTTTTTATAGACCTCTGCCAACAAAAATGGACCTAGGGGTGTGTGTGCAGCCCCTGAGCTCCATTTTCACTGGCAGAGGCGCTGTTCCAGGCCAGCCCCATGGGCCGGATCTAAGCACTCTGTGGGCCGGATACGGCCCGTGGGCCTTGAGTCTGACACCCTTGTTTTAGATGAACACTTGGGTTGTTCATAGATATATTTAAGGCAGTCAGAAGACTAGAAGATTTGGAGAAAAAAAAGATTCTATCTTTCCATCATCTCTATCTCTGTCTCTCTGTCTATGTCTCTCTATCATCTTCATTCTGATTTGTAAGCTTCTGTAAGGAAAATGAAGAAGAGTCATGTTTTTATCCTTGCAAAAGAAAAGCCTAAACCTACAAGAAACTTATTTTTTCAGTTCACTTCTTAGTAACATATAAGCATGTCAAGGCAGGCAAAGAGGTTGTTTGCCTTTAGTTTCTCCCAGGATGTTTGTTGGTTGGTTTTTCCAATTTTCTGCTCCGGCTTACAACTATGGTTCTCTATCAAGTATCAAACACAGTTGCCCATGCTTAACTTTCCAGAAATAAAACCCTAAGACAGCTTGCTGCTTTAATACATGCATATTAACACATTGCATTAACCCAATGAAAGGTTGCAGAGTATCTTTTGTGCTTTGGTAGCACTGGCAAAGCTGGAAATTCCAAGAAATGTTCATATCCTCAGTTTTATGGATCAGATTTCCTGATTTATATGAAAGCATAAGAGATTTAAGCAGTGGTGAGATACAATTGGTTGAACAACCATTTCGCTTCGTGCGGGCGCATGCAGCTTTCAAAAAACGAGCTTTATAAGCTTCAAAACTTACCTTCTATGTCAGGGCCAGTGAGTAAAACAGCTGATGAGCAGCAATCTGCTGTGTCGCGTGAATCAGCTGAGCTAAACAAACAGGGAAATATAGGACAGGAAAGCATAGGGGTGGATGGGTGGGGCCAAATGCTCACTGGAGCTATCAAACCCATGCCCATGCCTAGCTAGAAACCGGGCAGAGAACTGGTTGCTACAATTTTTCAATCCCATACCTGATTTGGGGCATATATAGTGGGAAGAGCCAGTGGCAGCTTCAGCTGACTTTAGCTGATCTCAGAAAGTTGAGCTGGATCATAACTGGTTAAGACTTAGTTGGGAGGCAACCAAAAAAATCCAAGGACACTAGATGAGAGGTCAAATAAATAATTGTTAGAAGAAGACATAAAAAGCCCATTCATTGGCTGATCTCTTTTCATCTTAATGGCATGGAGGAAAGCTTGATAGAACAGGGCAATTGGAGAAAAAAAAAGGTTTATTTGTTTGGGAAAGATGTGGTGTAGGATGTGTGAGAACCTGACAGCTAATGACTGCAGGTATACCTTCTTCACTGTGCCAGCCAATGCAAGTGATTTCAATCAATTAAATGAAGCGTATTCAGTAAGTCTTACAAGGAGCTATTAAGCACATTTGTTTCTGTTCTTTCTTTTCTAAGCCAACACTTCTGATAAAACACTAGTCCAGGCTGGCTCTTAATTTATTCTGAAGTGATAATGGCAGTTGGAAATGGCTAGGGAACCCCTAATCCATATGCTATATGGCTTCAAGTGCAACACACAATGTGAGGGGAGTTTGGGAGTGAGGTGGTGACCCATTTGTTGTCTTAATTTAACTTTTTGTTTAGAGGAATGTAGCTGCTCAGAAGGTGTGGATATTATGCTGCATGGTGTAAACGAGGAGAAGAAACACCCAAAAATATGTGTCTTTCTTTCTTTCTTTCTTTCTTTCTTTCTTTCTTTCTTTCTTTCTTTCTTTCTTTCTTTCTTTCTTTCTTTAACATTTAATGAAATGAATTCATTTTTGCTAAATTGGAGGGATTCCAAGGTTAGAGAGTTCAAGGACTGCAAAACCGAAAATGCTGATGGATAAAAGAATGTAGCTGCAAGTATCCCTGAAGGAGATTCATCCTGTTGTTCTTTCAAGGATCCTGGCGAAGCTAGCAATGGAAAGCCACCCACAAACAAGAGAATGAAAACAGCTGTGCCGCAGCCATACTCGGGTTAGTTGACTCTGTAAATACAGTGTTGGGCGATGAAAAGGTCATTGGCAGGGATGTCCCACTGTGCTACAATGCCTGCAGGTGCAGTGGGTGTATTTGTAACGGCATCATATCACTGATGGCAAGGAATTAATGGGTCACAGACAATCCAGTTTCACTCCAGTTATATTTTCTGTCAGCATCATCAACTCTGGCTTCGGTGGATTATCCCACCCTGTTGTCCAGGTTTTGCCAAGTAGGAAATTGTGTCATTGCCGTCTCCAGAGTTCACTCCTCTGAATTTACAAAATAAAACAACTCTTTACAAGACTGTGGTATTGCCATATGGGGGGAAAGTTCTAGTGGCCAGAAGCCATCTTTAGAAAATATATATTTTCCAAGTAGAGCAATGAGATCACCAAATAATGTAATTGGGTGGGGCTGGTCTTTCAAGAAGAGGAGTGTCTTTTGGGGCATGTTAAGCCTTTTCAGCTTTTCCTTTGTTAAGTTTTCCTCTGTTGCAAGTTTAGGCAAACCTGACAGTGATCTATTACCAGATGTATGATTTCAGCAGGATTGGGAGGACTACAAAAAAGAGGTTGTTTATTGTTAAAATATATTCACTTGCCCTGTGTCTGTTTGATGCTGCTTTGGCTCTTTTTAAAATAGTCTTGAGGCAAGAGAAAGGTTTTCATGGCTAGGCCGTGTGAGGTTGATCCTCAACAATACTACTGAAGTTGTCACATCCTATGCTTTTTTATACTGTAATAACCCTCCCTGTGAAAGGGTCTGCTGCCTGTCAGATTCTAAAAATAGTTGCATAATATTTAGCTATATGTTTCTTAGTTATTATGTTAGCAAAGTTTCTATTGGCCATTCAAGGAGAAGGCAAATCACATATTATTTTAATGCAAACATGGAACAACTGCTGCTTCTGCCAATATATACAATTTACAATTCAATACATACAACACACAGTGTTAATGCATACTCACTCACACAATTATTGCTTTTGGTGGATTATCAACTACGTGATCTAAGTCAGTGGTCCCCAACCCCCGGTCCGCGGACCGGTGCCGGGCCGTGGAGTACCTGGCACCGGGCCGCGCAGCGACCGGGGGCCATGATCGCTGCAG